GTGTATCGTAAAGTTGTATTCGGAAAGAATAAACTAGTTTTATTAAGTAAAGACTTGTATCGCTAAAGTTTCGTCAGAACGAAGTTACGGAAAGTTAATTAATAAACGGAGACGTAACAGGCTTATTTCCTGTTGCTGCATTTTACTGTTAAGAGTTTTAATTTTTTTTTATTCTTTTTTTGGTACTGTCGTTTCTTGTATGCAACTTTGAATGGCTTATATTGTTGTATTGTAAATAGCTTTTAGTGCATTTTGAATTTATCTTTGTGTAACAGGTTTAATTTCATTTCTTGCTTTATTATCAGGCAATTCATTTAGTAGCTTTTACATTTTTGTATTATGTTGAAATGTGAAAATTATGATCACGAGGTAAAGGTTTTTCATCTTAATTTGTTTTATGCACTTGTGAATAATGTGTTAGACTACCTTATAGGTGATATCCTTAATAAATATTATTTTTTATGTATTATTACTACGTTATTTAATGGAATTTTAATTACATGTGTGTATACTTGCATCTTTTTAAAGGGTTCATTTTTCTGGGTTAAAGAAAAAGTGTGGTATGCAGACAGGTTATGCATTTTCTACCCACTAAATGTTAGCATTGTAAGTCCGTAAATTTACTACTGTCCTAAGAGTCACCCTAATCAAGGTATCGTACTACGTTTAATTAAATTATTGAAGCATTCCTGATTGAACAGTAATATTTTAGTTATATACACATATCTATATTTCAATTAGTTTGACAATTAATAATAACCAAACAATATATCACACTAGTAGTGCAACCACATATAGTAAATAAACGGAATTGAATTTTATATTGAGTCTTTCAATATTTTTCACATATTTCTAGATTTAATTTGTTTGTTTGTTTTAACTAAATTACAATATTTTATAGTATTTTGGCCCTCTCGTGGAAGTAATATATCATTTGTTAGTTAGTTAAAGATGTCTGAATACGACTTTGTTTCATCAAGTTCTCTAAGGCTTAAACGGGATGATGGCTGTGTCAAAAAGTGAGTGTATGTTTGATTGATGCCAGTCGTATTTTAAAACTTATGATAGTGTATACAGTTAAAAAGTGTTACTTCTTAACTAAGTTATACTAGTTATAATTACAGAGTTATAGAACATTATTTATATAACGATTATTAGGCCTAGGAATAGGATTCACCAACTCTGCTATTACAAATACTAGTAATCAAATCATTAACCATACAAATTACAACTTTCGAACAAGTACAGCTTCCAAGTAGTTTAGCCTTAGGTACAGGTAGTGGATATTGCGTAAACTTGTACAACTAAAACTTACACTACAGTAACAGTACAATTTAAATTTAAAAGTAGATCGAACAAAAATTGAAGATGTATTGTTGACTGACTTTCACTGCCACTGAGTAAAACTTTCCGAAAATCGGAAATGCTTTATTGAAATAAATCATTAAATACCGAATAAAAGTGATGTATGAAGTTGTTGCTTCTAAATTCTAGCTATTTTAATTAAAGTATTGTACAGACATTGGTTAGAGATTTGTTTTTATGGACATTTATTGAAACCAGCTAATCACACTTTAGTTTAGGAAAGCTAGTAAGAGCACATTTATTGATCAGCAGATGTTGTTATGATCATTCATATTATTGAACAATTTAGTGTGTAGTCTGTTCTATGCTTTAGCCTTTAGTGAGTTTTACTGTGGCTGCAAATATTTTATGATTGAACTGGTATTTTTAGGAGTTGCTACACATAATTAATGGTTATTGGGAATGACTGGTGATTACTAGCTATAGCTTAGCTAATATTGGATGAGATTGTGTAAGAATTCCATATTGAAAATCTCCTGTTCTCACCCCTTAAGTTAAAGCTATGTTCAAATATTTCAAAAAGGTGTATTAATAAGACTTGTATGTTAGATTGGAGACACTTAAAAGTTAGTGTTTTGAGTCTATTCGAAGTAGGGGGTGTTGAATGATAGCTATACCTAGGAATTATCCAATTATTTCTTTACCTCTTTACCTGGCCATGTCTCTAGTATATGATAACTGTTTCTGAAAGTTTATTGCTCATGATATATCTTTTGCATCTGAAAATTCTTTTTTAATATTAACTACCTACTTAGAACAAAACTAAAGATCCACCAGGTAAAGAGTTTAACTAATTAGATATACCTTTCTTGTGCTCTTATTTATAAAGAGTAGAATGCATTGTTTCATCAGTTGGGTACCGTAACTGTTAATGACATTTCCAGCTGTAAATCGAGTAATATCTTGCAAAGTTTGGCCCACTTAGGAGATTTAGGTTAGTCCTAAATACAGAATTGAACTAACTATAAAACAATCTGTATAACAATAATAAGAATTAAAGATAATAAAATTAGACATATTAAACATTCTAACCAATACAGCTAATGAAAGTAATAATAGAACATACTTTTTTTTTTACAAAAGATGCATCTAGTTGTTGGCTTAAAGTAATAGTATAGATTTAATGTTTGTTTAATAATTTAACACCTGTATAATGAAATGTAAGCAGAATGTTTGACAACTTGCCCTAAATGTATCTTGTGACTAATACAAACCCATTAAGTAGCTCCAAGAGTATAACTTCAGAAAAGCATGTGTCTAAGATAAACTGCTATGATACATTTTATTGTTCAAGTGTACAGTCATGCAATAGAATATTTCCAAGAATACAGTCAAAAAGTAATGTTTATGAAGATGCAAAATTATAAATTAATAAATATGCATTACCGGCTCTTGTGTTTAAAATTTTTTAAATTGTAATAAATAATTAAAAACAACATTTTATATTTACACAATAAAAACTTTAGTTAGGAAGGAAGAAGATAACTTAGAAGCATCAGTTTATAGAAAACCTTTTGCTGTTGTTATGCCGCCACACGAAGAATCATGTCATATAAAAACCCAAAAAATATCAGCATTTTATACATGTTTATAAAGCTATAAAAATATGTTCAAGACAGGACGATTTAAATAAATTGTTATTAAGTATATAGCTAATGATAGAGGATTTGATCCAAATATAGTAGACAAAGCATTTGAGAAGTATAACAAAAATGCAAATTCAGTTAAAAATACCACATTAAAATCTGCTTATGAAAAAAACAAAAAAGAAACTCTAAGTTCACCTTATGTTCCAGGTTTAACAAATCAATTATATAAAGTATTCAAAAAGTATCAGAATTTTTACCCTATCTTCAAACCAATAAATAAGATAAAAGATATGATAGGGAATGCTATAGACAGAATAGAATTAACAGATAAAACGGGTATATACAAGATAGAATGTGAATG